ACATCTATCTGATGTTCCTGTCTTTAGAAATTGATATAAAACTGTGTCAAATTTATACAAAAATTCATATATACGCATTTTTGTATAAAACTTTAGTATTAAACAGATCATATTCAACAAATACGCTACCAATCTGAAAACGACAATATCCCACAGGAGCCTGAGAATCTCAGGTTGGCGCCTACTTTAGTTTTTTTTTGCATTTTAATAGATATAATTGATAATATTATTACACATAGTCCGTATTACGTCACCATAACTTCAGCCAATGGCAGTGCAGTAACGTTGTCATGTGATACAGACGGAAATCATGTGACCAGTATACTGTACTACTATTGGCTGAAGTTATTGTGACGTAATACGAACTATACGGACTATCTTTAACAACATTATCAATTATCTCTATTCAAAATGCAAAATAAAAAATTATAATAGGCGCAAACCTAAGATTCTCACGTTTCATCCTATACCTCCTTCTTTTTTCCTTTACAGTCCCTTTAAGCCTAAGAAAAAATTTCATCTTTTAGTTAATTTTATTTTAGCATACACAATTTAGTGTATTTTACAAATTTATGAATTTATTTTTTTCATTTTTCATACCTGAAAATTTCAAAAATATCCGGGGATATGCCACAACATCAAGGTATTTGGCTCTTTATTCCTTTGTCCTTAGGGTCATATAAAATCTTAGAGTCAGATAAGATAAATTTTTCCTCAGTAATAAAAAAGTTTCGATTCTTAGGGAATTCTTCTTTTTCATACTGTTTAATGTTTGTTTAGTTAGCTGCTAAATATAAAGGATCAAATTGTTATGTGGGTTTATTTAATTTGTTTTGGTTACCAATGCATTCTTTTATTTTCAGGATTGAAAAGAAGTAAGCTTACACTCGATCATGAAATATAATATAAATCTTGTTTTTCCCCGCAGCTGGGATAAACATTATATGCGTGATTTAGTCCAATGTTTTTACAGTTATCATCAAGTTTTGCTGTAACCTGTTTGAAACTGTACACTGCACACTCCTTGCAAAGTTTTAGGTCTAAGTTTCCTTTCAGAAAGTTTATCCTGAACCTTTAACTAATTATTTTTGTCTAAATAACTTGAATAGATTATACAATGCTTTCATATAATTTCACTTTGAAAGTCTGACGTAAGTACTGATAGTTGTCTAGAGAAAATCAATAAATACCTTCAACTTTTACCTTTCAAAAAATCACTAGAGTTCCATCAAATAGAAAAAAAATTTAACATTTTCTTGGTTATAGTTCAGTTGAAACATGTTGAAAATTTGTTAAAGCATTTTCAAGTGATTTGTCAAGTGTTATAAAACTTTCAATAATTTCTCCTCTTCACAATAATGTCAAAAGGGAATTTTTGTTGTTATATTCAGAGACAGGGGTTTTTAATCAAATTCGACTAGACGATAAAAAGTGATGTAATACGATGTATAGAATAGTATAAAAGTATATAGAAAAGTATAAAATAATGCAGCAAACAAAATAGTACAGCATCAAATAGATAATGAAGATATTAAGATTAAAACCAAAATTCTAATAAACAGTATTAAAACTAAAATCAAAGTTTTCCAAATATGTTAAAAAAAAAAGTTTTGACTGGAAACATTGAATTTGTAAGTAGTCAAAGAAAACTAAGAAATCAAGATAGAACATCGCGAAGTGTATCAAATAATCTGAAATGAATAAAAAACTTCCAAAATAAAACAATCTCTTTCGCTTATAAGCTTGCTTTGAATTGATAAATCCACAGTTTTATCTAGAATTATAAATCATAAATCTAAAAGTTATTTATGTTGTATATTGTGAAAAATGTTAATAAAAGATGAAAAGATGAAGAATTTCAACACCCTTTGTGCCACTACATATTGCAGAGGAGGTAAAAAGAGCTGCTGACTCGCAGTCAGAATCATCCAAACATTTTATTTAATCTAAAAGGGCTTGTGCTAACAATTCTGAGCAACCCTTCCACCAGAAAATTCTAAAAACTAGTCAAAGGTGTATATTAGGAATCCCCTTATCCCCAGCTGATAGATAAGCAAGGATAAAACCATCGGTATGAATGAATAATGTAATCTTTTCATCTCCCTAAAGAGACTGTAGGGCGTGATTTTGTCTTAATTTTCATTTTGAGTGTGACAGGTTCGATTCACAACGGTATCTTTTAAGACGTTGTCTGAACAAAAAATGATGAAGTTATCCCATTTTTTCTAAAATCTATAATCTTTAATTGCAGTTCTCTATAAAGGTGACGTGCAAAACTATGCAATAGGAGATATATTCCTTATAGTTGCTCAGAGCTGAGAACTCCCTATCGGTTAATTAATCCGGTGATTAATAACGGGAGGAAATTAAAAAAAAGAGTGGATCAAGCATTAAGTTCAAAAGTTCCCTGCTCAGATTATAAAAGGTCAGATAAAGGTACTGTTGTGAATAGGACATACCATTCTATGAATTGAGAGTCACTTGATTTTACTTCTACATTCTCTTTAGCTATAAAGGTTACAATTATTTGAACTTAGTTGTGTAATGGTGTATTGAGGTGAAGGTGTGTTTAATTTACAGATGTTCCCAGTTCTCAGCTAAATGTCAAAAATGAAAAACATATATTTACACTGAACAGGGTTCTCTACTCATTTCTCACTCTCATCTAATATTCCCAAGCGGGAAACACAGAACTGATTTTTTTTCTTTAAAAAAAGAAATTTCCTCGTAAGTCACCCTCCATTTAAAAAAGATTCACAAAGGTTAATGTGACCGATAGCGCGGTTCTTTTTTGCTTGAAAAGTGTTTAATTATGTTAATTTCTCCGATGAGTCTGAAGCAAAAATGGACACATCACTTTTGCAGAGAGTCAGATTAAGCTTTTAAGGGTACCGTTTACTCGGACATGCCATTCTATCAATGAAGGGTCACGAACAGTCCCATTAAATCCATATTTTTCATTCGCCGGGAGTCATAATAAACATTAGAGATGACTATGTATTCCTCTTTGATATTTAATAGTTCATTAAATGACAAGGTTTTATTTTATCTTATGAAATACCAAGGAACGAACATTTCGAGGATCAGGATTATGAAAATATGATGTTTTTGTTTTAAGCATGAAACTTAATAAATAGAATTTGATAAAAAAACACAATGAATAATTCTTTAAAAATTCAACACATGGAACACCTGAACAATAGACAATCATCCCAATTAGAATGTAGAGTTAGAAAAGTGCAAGTCTGCAAGAATATTTTCCTGAATCTGTTCTTACAAACATCAGTTGGTGTAAACTATATTCTTAAAGTCACTTATCAACAACGGCTTAAAGGGGCTGCATCCCTCTAAACACTTTTGAGGACATTTCCCCTGTGGAAAAAGTTAAAGTGTAACTTGAGAGATAGAGCATCTCCTATGTTTAGATTTTTAAGAATGAAATTAAATTTTTAACAAAACTATTAATGGATACTTTCCTTAGGAACTGAATGTATTAAATTGTAACATTATGTATTTTTTTAATATTATTTACATTTTACAAACTAAATAACAACTGCGTATTCGGCCCATCATTTACATGCCAACTTTCTTTCAAAATATTTAAAGGTTGAGAATAAATGCTCATGCATAGTGGTTTGCTAGACCATCTAGACAAGCTAAACCATCAGTCATATATTATACAAACTTTGCCCAAACCTGAGGGATAGGAACAGAATACAGTGCATATAGTAGAGATAGGAACAGTATACAGTGCATATAGTAGGGATAGGAACAGTATACAGGGCATATAGTAGGGAAAGGAACAGTATACACTGTATATAGTAGGGATAGGAACAGTATACAGGGCATATAGTAGGGATAGGAACAGAATATAGGGCATATAGTAAGGATAGGAACAGTATAAAGGGCAGATAGTAGGGATAGGAACAGAATACAGGGCATATAGTAGAGATAGGAACAATATACAGTGCATATAGTAGGGATAGGAACAGTATACAGTGCAGATAGTAGGGATAGAAACAGTATACAGGGCACATAGTAAGGATAGGAACAGAATATATGGTATATAGTGGGATAGGAACAGTATACAGGACATATAGTAGGAATAGGAACAGTATATATGGCATATAGTAAAGATAGGAACAGAATACATGGTATATAGTGGGATAGAAACAGAATACAGGACATATAGTAGGGATAGAAACCGTATACGGGACATAAACTAGGGATAGGAACAGTATACAGGGCATATAGTAAGGATAGGAAGTTAGGAACAGAATATATGGCATATAGTAAAGATAGGTACAGAATACATGGTATATAGTGGGGTAGGAACAGTATACAGGACATATAGTAGGAATAGGAACAGTACACATGGCATATAATAAAGATAGGAACAGAATACAGGGTATATAGTAGGGATAGGAACAAAATTCAAGGTATAAAGTAGGGAAAGGAACAAAATACAGGGTATAAAGTAGGGATAGGAACAAAATACAGGGTATAAAGTAGGGATAGGAACACAATGCAGGGTATAAAGTAGGGATGGGAACAAAATAAAGGCTATAAAGTAGGGAAAGGAACAAAATACAGGGTATAAAGTAGGGATAGGAACAAAATACAGGATATAAAGTAGGGATAGGAACAAAATGCAGGGTGTAAATTAGGGATGGGAACAAAATAAAGGGTATAAAGTAGGGATTGGAACAAAATACAGGATATAGAAACAGTTTAGGTTTTTAGTAAGGTATCAAATCCGATATGGCAGTTTACGTAACTGAAAGGTCGTTTAATGTAGATTGTCGAAAACATGCGAGTAAAAACTGTGGCCAAACGTTATTTTATTGTCGTTTAGTGTCGGACAAAGGTTCCACAGAAAAATGTGAAGTCTGGAATTGAAAAGCCACCAGAGCGAGGGTGGTTTAAATGAGTAAAAACAAAATAAGACTTTAAGACATGGAGCTTTGGAAATCCTCATGGATTAGATATATTTTATTCACCTTTATCCATTCCTTTCCTGTTTCTGGTGATCCTGCATTTGACAATAGTTCCTTCTGGAACCGTCTCGTAAACAAACTCAGACAGATTCTCTATAACACGGATCATCTCCGTCACATTATCACCTCACATACATAAATCCTCTTCTGTAAGTTTGGGCGGGAAATGATGTTTGTTGTCTCACTGTTTGGTTTGGTTTGGTTCAGAGGTTGAAGACAAGGGACCGGTGTGGTGTGCTGGTAGAGGCTAGTGGGAAACTGGTCCTGAGAAACGTAAAAATTAGAGGCCGTCATTTCACAGGGCGATTCTTTAGTTTATACGAGGGGTATTAGACATACTGTCAATCGTTATTATTATTTTGATAGTTCTGTTTCCAATTGACAACAGTATCGTTTAAAGCTTTTTCTGAGCAAAGATTTATTCGTTTTTCTATATAAAAAAGTGACTTGCGGATTGTATGCAGCCGAAATAAAGAAATAATTTATAGAATGTATCACTGTTTTGCGACGAAATCTTCTCCCTTTTGGGTTAGATGAAGGTAGAAATGGTGTCGTGAATCAGGAATGACATTCTTTAAACAAATTTCGCCTCAGTTTCTTTCAGATTGATTTTCTAAATTTTAATGTTCAATGCAGAGACAATTAACAATGAGAAACTAAATTATTCTAAATGAATAGATTAAATCTATAGACTATTGAGGCCTCTAATTATAAATTCTGATAAAACAAATAGTTTAATAATTACTCAAGAAACAGAAACAACAACAAAAAATTGAAAGTTAAAATTAAAACCAATCTAAAATTCTCTTAACGGAAAGAAAATATTCATTTTTATATGAACGTTTCTGCATACAAAGATTAGAGTTACAGTCTACAGATTTATAGTTGTTTAATGTTAATTGCGTCAACTTTTATAAAAGATTTAATCATTCATTTAAACTTTTCAAGGTCTTTTTTCCAATTACTTTTATCGGAGAAAATTGGTTTTAATTATCTAGCAATCAGCTGTAATTAGTTGAGTCCCTGTTCTGCGTTTAGAAAAATAGAAAATAAAAAATGAAAACGATTAAACCGCAGTTGATACAGTATATTGAGTACAGCTCAAACTTAACTTTAAAACTTATTATATCGACATGTATTCATGGTTTTATTGTTAAACTCAAGGCCAGGAAAAATGCGTTCTAGCATATTGTTTAAAACAAATATAACGATTTAATTAAAATTCCTATTTTTTTCATTTTGAACCTTGTAAATTAAACTGGCAAAATAAGCTTACTTCAAAAGCTTAAAATAATATGATATAATGTGTTTTTAAAGCAAGTACTTTATTGGACATAAAAATAAATACTCATTTTGTGATAAGCTTTACCTTAGAGAATTTACAGAATTTATTCATTCTTATATTCATTACTTTTTTCAGCTTCATTTGTAAAATCAGATGAATATATAAAAATTAAAACAGAAGAACGAATTTAAATATTAAATTTTAAAAGTTTTGGTTTTTATTTAGTGCCTTTGTATTTGTATTCTGTTGATTAATTGTATAAAAGGTTTATTTTGTTTTCTTTGTATAGTTGATGTACAGACAAATTTCAGATTTGAACAAATTTATCCTGCCAAAATTTTAAAAATTTAAACTTCAGCAGCATAGATTAGAAAGAAAAAAAAATGTTTTAAAATGCTGTTGATTCCTTCAAAACGGTCGTAGTTTCTTCTTTTCCATTTCTTTGAAGGTTCAACCAATCAAAATCCTAAATAATTTGCAATCAGCCAATACGAGATTACGAAAAACAAGTCAGCTGGTTTTTTACTGATCTCTTCAAACAAACTTATAGCTTCCAATTTAGATATCAAGTTCAGGTGTTTGAGATCAGCGTCATCTCACACAAAAACTCCGAACTCAGATAAAATAAAAAATTGGACGAACTCCGCGTCCTTGTTTGAGATTAAAGGTACTGCTGTGAATTGTGGTGGAGAATAAATCATACAGTAAATATAAAATAAACTTATTCGTTGCTTACAGTGATCCATAGGTTGCAAGTTCTCATGCAATAATCGACGAGAACTTTTCCAATTACCTTATAAAAACTAAAGTCTATCCATTTTGGAATCATGTGCTCTAACACTAGACTAAAGAAAAGAATACGTTCTCTATGAGAAAATTTAAAGAGTTATAAATTCTTGTCAAACATTTTAAAGGATTTTCTCAAGTTTAAACAAAAATATTGAAATGTTTTTCTTTCATTTCAACAATGATAAAGTTTAATGTGCTTCTATTAAGATATTAAAAAAGCTAAGCAATACAGATCATTAGAATTATAAAACCTTGGTCTACTATGCAAGAAATTAACAATATACCTAAAATAATGTATTCTGGTACAACCTGTACAGTGTACCTACAGTCACCATGTACCTACGGTGCATAATCATTCTGTTAAACCCTGTATCTACAGGATAAAATGTATTCTGGTACACCTTGTATATTTGGGATATAATGTATTCTGGCACAACCTGTATCTGCGAGATATAATGTATTTTAGCACACCCTGTATCTGCGAGATATAATGTATTTTGGCACACCCTGTATCTGAGGGATATAATGTATTTTTAGCACACCCTGTATCTGCGAGATATAATGTATTTTGGCACACTCTATATCTGAGGGATATAATGTATTTTGGCACACCCTGTATCTGCGGGATATAATGTATTTTGGCACACCCTGTATCTGAGGGATATAATGTATTTTGGCACACCCTGTATCTGCGGGATATAATGTATTTTGGCACACCCTGTATCTGAGGGATATAATGTATTTTGGCACACCCTGTATCTGCGGAATATAATGTTTTTTGGCAAAACCCTGTATCTGCGACATATAATGTATTTTGGCACACCCTATATCTGCGGAATACAATGTATTTTGGCAAAAACCCTGTATCTGCGAGAGATAATGTTTTTGGGACACCCTGTTTCTGTGGGATACAATGTATTCTGGCGCACTCTGTATCTGCGACATATAAAGTATTTTGGCCCACCCTGTATCTGCGGGATATAACGTATTCTGTTACGCCCTGTATCTGTGGGATATAATGTATTCTGGTACGCCCTGTATCTGCGGGATATAATGTATCCTGGTACACACTATATCTGCGGGATATAATGTATTCTGGTACACCATGTATCTGCCGGTTGTAATGTATTCTGGTACGCCCTGTATCTGCGGGATATAATGTATTCTGGTACACACTATATCTGCGGGATATAATGTATTCCGGTACACCCTGTATCTGCGGGATATAATGTTTTATCCCTAAAGATTGAGGATTGAGGAGACAGACAATCAAGTTCCAAACTTTTCAGTTTTCTTTCTTTATTTCAAATCACAATTTATAAGTTTTAGAAACTGTCCGACTGATCTTTTTCTACCTTTCTTACAACATTCTTAACTTTCTAAATTACACCAATCATACCAAACATGCTAATCATGTCAATCATACTAATTACACCAATCATGTTAATCATGCAAAACATGTCAATCATTCTAAATTACACCAATCATACCAAAGTCAAACATGCTTATTATGCCAATCATACCAATAATACCAATCATACCAATCATACCAATCATACCAATCATACCAATCATGCAAATCATACCAATCATACCAATCATACCAATCATACCAATCATACCAATTTTATCGATCATTTGGAGTCAACAAATCGTTTTTAAAATCCATTATGCGGAATTTTTTTTTAAATAAAGAATTATCTGATGAAAACTAGAAGAATAATGAACATCTTCAAAGGAATTGAGTTTTTGTCAAAAACTCTGATTTTCTTATCCCTTTATCTTTGCAGTTAAATGTCGGAGACCTTAGCTATTTCAAACTATGAATCATTTTAGATTAAATAATGATAGTTTGAAATATCAAAGGTTTACACCATCAGGTTGAAAAGATATGGCGATTGTAAAATCATAATTTGTGGCAAAAACTCAGTTCCTTTGTATAACAATGATGAGTATTGAAATATTGATCATATTTGATCATATTGACGTGTGTGTTTGTAAACTTATGAATTATGGCTGTATAGTGTATATACACATAAACCATGCAACATCACAGAATAATAATCAACACTTAAACAAGTTTTTACTTTTAATGCAGTTCTATATAGTGGGGAAACAGGAAGTAAGATGATACAGGACTTGGGAAAATACAAGGGGTCGGGTCGGGGATACAGAGAGGGAGGGGAAATACAAGGGGTAGGAGGATACAAGGGAGAGGGGAAATACAGGGAAGGATACAATGGGTAGAAGGATACAATGGGTAGAAGGATACAATGAGTAGAAGGATACAATGGAAGGAAGGATACACATGGGTAGAAGGAAGCAATGAGTAGGAGGATACACGGGGGAGAAGGATACAAGGGGGAGGAGGGATACACAGGGGAGAAGGATACATAGGGGAGAAGGAATACACGGCGGAGGGGAATTACAATGGGTAGAAATTCAAGAAATAGGCGCCAAACACTGCATTGCTTTTATTTTCTAAACGATGTTCAAGAGACATATTTAAAGGTTAAGTTCATTTTTTCTTTTTCTAAGATTTCAGTGTTTTCTCCATATCTGAGAATATACTAAACTACAGGTGAATACTAACGGTAAAACAATACTAGTTCTATGAGGTGATGCTGCACTGCAGTATTCTGCCAGGAAACAAGGAACCCTTTGGGGAATTTTAATCCGTTAAAGAAAGATGAATAATTTATCATAAAGAGATACAGTTTATATACTTAAAAGCAAACTCGCAATCCAGAAAACTTTGAACAAGTGTGGATTCCCAGGGTATACAACTTTTTCTTGGGGATAAAATATGATAAATATTTTATATACAATATACAATATACAATTAGCCTGTGGCGATCATATAGTTTTGATTAGCCAAACTGACGACAATAGTTTTTTGGCTTATACTAAAGATTATTAGTAAATGTAACAAAAAATCTTTTATTAGCTAGATACATAATGGTTTCATTTGAGGTGGTCTAATACATCTCAAAATAAAAATATTTTTCGTCAAATTTAGTTCCTTCTATATAATCATCAGATTATTGAGATATCTGAGGAAAACCATGTTTTTGCTTTGTTCTCCTCAGATATAAGATTACCCTCCCTAGTTGAAACAAATATTGAATGTAATAGAGTTTTTTTTTAAACTGAAGAATTATTTACATGAAAA